CGGGAACCCGGCACGGAACCCTCCGGCGTTGTAGGCGGGTGTGGGAAGCGTTCCCCGTTCTCCTTTTATTTTATTTTGATCGGTCTCCTCGACGCTCTTTCTCGTTTGGTGCGGTAGCTGGTCTTTCTTTCTATCATTTTGTTTCTCTTCCGAGTGGTTTTTGTACCCTATTTTTTTCTGTTTCTTCGTGGGGTCGTGTGTGTCGGGTTTTGAGACCACGGGCTCCCAATCTTTTTTTTTTTTTTTAAGAGCTAATGTGAGAAACAACAACAAACAACAACTCTCCCTCCTCGTTCACTTTATGTAGTGTTGCACAACGCCGAACGAAACGAACACACGCCCGAGGTCACGCGTGGCAGGCTGTTATTCTCAGGGTAGCCTTTTCTACATATTGAAGTTGGAGAAAAGGCAGTGGGCTAGCTTTCTCTGGGGTGTGGGAGAGGAGGAGTGGTAGTCTAGGGTGCTAAGGGTTGTTGAGGCAGGTCGTGGCAGTGGTGGGAGGCAGCACTGCTGTGGTACGAAGTAGGCTCGCTTCAGGGGATGTTTGGGTTCGGTCCCCGCTTTGCGGCGAAATTGGCATATTTCTGTGGACGTACGTGAAGGATGTTGTTGTGCAGCAGCAGCAGCAGCGCTGCCGCTCATGTATTCAGGAGAGAGAGTCTACCAGGGCACGGAGCAGAAGGCGAGCTTGAGTGTCCGGTTACCAGTGCGTTGACAGAGTTCGAAGCCGTGGTTGGTTCCAGCAAGTGAGTGCAGGAGTTCGGTCGAATAGCAGCAGTGTTGATCGGCTTGAGTTGAGTACAGCAGCGAGCAGAATTAACGACAAAGTTTCCTCTTCAAAGCACCATCGATCACCCTCGGTCTTTGAGTGTTTTTTATCTATTATCTTCGGCCACAACCGTCCGAGACATAGAGCAACCCACTGACAAGAACCTCGAACCTAGCACAAGAACCGTTAGCGTAGAGCCACATCGCTCTGCATTGGATTGGTTGATCGGGTCATCAGCAGAACCCGAATACCAAGGACAACAGCACAGCGTCTCGTTGCTTTTTTGTGCGGTTGCGTTTTGCGTCTTCGAGGCCGAGTCTTAACCGGTTCCTTACGGTTTGAAAAATTCCAGTTGAAAAATTGAAATTTTCAATTCCCAGCCGAACAGAGCTTCGCACTGGTTGGAAAATCGTTTTTTTTTCAGAAATTGACGAGTCTAAATTTTCAACTCGGGCCAAAACAAATTGGAAACGCTCTGCGCAGTTGAAAATTTCAGAAATTTTCAACTCTCGACCGAGTTGAAAAAGCTAGTTGGAAATCCAAATCTAGGGGGGGGGGTGCGTCGC